TGTTTTCCGCTCCAAAATAGTTTAAATGTTTCCTAGAATAAAATATAGTGTGTTTAATAGGAGAAAAAAAGTTGTTGTTTTTTTACCCAGACATTTAAAAAGAATATATTTTAGAGCAGTAATCACAATACTGTGATACTCATAGCCAGGGTAGACATACCTTTGGAATCTAATACATGCCTAATTGCAATATATAATTGCAGAAAAACTAAACATCACAAAATCAGATTTCTCCAAAATTGTGCAGCCCTACTCAGGAAGATTCTGTAGTTTTTGCATTCTCATGTTGTGGCTAATATTTCACATAAAACATGAGTAATTGGCCAATTAAAGAGACAGTTCACCCAAAAATGCTAATTTAGTCATCATTTACTCACCTTTCACTTGTTCTAAACCTAATTTAGATTCTTTCCTCTGTTGAGTACAAAGTAAGATAATTCGAAAAATGCTAGCTGGCACCCACTGACATCCATTTGCTGACAAGATGCTTCTGCTAAATGATGCACTCTAATTCGATTTCAATTGTATTTTGATTTATCATCATAAAATTAACCTGCTGATGCCACTGCCAATATGCACCAGACACTTCCCAACACAAACTCTTTTACTTGGTCCCACACACACTCAAGATCTGCTAAACTAACTTGGATTTGTGATGGCATCTATCTATTTCTGCTCTCTGGTGATTTTAAGTGCTTCCTTTATTCTCATTTGTAAGTGGCTTTTGATTAAAGCATCTGCTAAATGAATGAACGTCAACATTACGTCAATGGAATGGTAAAACTGTGTAATGTTTTTGCTACTTTGCATAGAAACACTCACAGGGAAAAAAATTAAAAGTGGTCACAATTTGAAAAGATTAACTTGTCCTAAAAAATTACATAAAAAACATGACCCTAATGGCCACAATGGAAATGAACACTAAACTAATTGCATCTAATTAAGTCATTTGGTATTGCGACCAAAGAAAATCTTAGCTAGTTAAATAAAACATATATATTTCTAATTGTGATATCTTCAAATGTTTTTTTTTCAGTTTTGGAACGAAACATGATTTGTAAATATATTATTCCATATAAATCTTGAAAAACAAAATCCATTAAAACAATCTTAAACATCTATTATTTTATTTCCCTTTTTAAACTTCAACAATACGACAATCAGGGTCCTAAAATCAACTGTGCTCCAGAGCATATCAGATTTTCAGATCTTACTGGAACTTTCATAAGATCTCTGTGGTTTAGATCTGAACTATGAATATTAATAATTATTACAGAAAATTAACCACCTAATAATTAAAAAAAAAGAACTCGATAATATACTACTTTGATTTTACAACAGCGTCAGAGAATGACAGCTCTGTAGATAAATGAACTGACCCTGATTATCGTGTGCTCCAGCACTAATTTAGATGACTCAACACACACCCCGAGTTTAAATCAATCCACATCTCACTGTTTTTACAAAAATAATTATTCACGTTTTTATTTAAGCATTTACATATTCAATATCGTTATGATGCTGCTTTGTATCTTGTTTTTTTTTTTTCAGATTTATAGTCTTATAGACTTCCAACAGACCTTTGGGCGCCATTGTGTCTGGATGAATGTTTTTGATATATAGATATATATATATATACACACACACACACATTCTTGTGTATAACTGTGCGTGTTTGTTCGTGTATACTCTTTATATGAGATTGCCTGTGTGTTCCTGAGTATAAATATATTATAGTGCATGACTGAGCATGTTTACATGTGTGTGTGTGTGTGTGTGTGTGTGTGTGTTCCTGAGTGTATAAACTCGTGTGTAATGGAGTGTACTTTGTGTGTATAATCAGTTTGTATGAAATTGTCTGTGTATGCAATTGTGCGTGTGTTTCTGAGTGCACTGCATATATTATTGTGCATAACTGAGCCTGTTTACATGTGTGTCCCTGAGTGTATATATTCTCGTGTATAACCGAGCGTTTGTTGGTGTGTGTATAATTTGTGTATGAGGTCGGCACAATAGCCTAGTGGTTAGCGCGCAGACATATGGTGCAATAGCACGTCAGGGCGTCGCGAGTTCGAATCCCAGCTCGAGGACATTTCCCTACCCTACCCGTGTTTACATGTGTGTGTTCCTGAGAGTATATATTGTTGTATATAACCCAGTGTGTGTATAATCTCTGTGTGTATGGGGTTGCGTGTGTATTCTTTAGTGTATATATTCATGTGTATAACTGTGCGTGTGTTTGGTTGTGTAATCTCTTTGTGTACAGGATTATGGGTCTGTGAGCGTGTTTACATGTGTGTGTTCCTGAGGTTATATATTTTTGTAGACAACCGAGCGTGTGTTTGTGTGTGTATAATCTCTGTGTGTATGGGATTGTGTGCGCGTTGTTGAGTGTATATATTCTTGTGTACAAATGAGCGTGTGTTTGTGTGTGTAATCTCTCTGTGTGTATGAGATTCGGTGTGTCTGCGAGTGTTTACATGTGTGTATTCCTGAGTGTATATATTATTTGTATGACTGAGCGCGTGTTTGTGTGTGTATAATCTCTGTGTGTATGAGATTGTGTGTGTAGGCCGTGTGTGTGTGTGTGTGTGTGTGTGTGTTTACGCGGCCCGGTTTAACCCAATTCCCCAGCTCACATCACACGCTGTAACCGACCATACACGAAATAAAACGCATTAAATCGGTGAAATCAGTGCGGTGAGCGTGTATAACGCTGAAGTATAAACAGAGACAGACGCTGATGTAGCCGTTAGCAGCTATGCTAACCCGCCAAACGCTCTCACCTTCAGTCAGTGGATCCCCCTCTCTCTCTTTCAGTCTGTGTTTATCTCTCTCAGCCGCTGCACGAACGCTGATGTCCGTCGGGTCACGGTAACGGAAGGCTCGCCGCGGCTTTCCACTTATTTTCGATGGGATTTAATCGGTGTGCTTGCTGGTATCCTTATTTCACCGGCGGCGGCTGATGCATGGCGGACGCGTTAATCGCGCTCTGTGTATCTGTGCGGCTTCCGTACCGTGACGCTGCGCTCACGTCACGTCTCATTAACATAAAACTACAAAAAGCGCGACTACTGAATAGATATTAAAAATAGTAAACTAACTTTATAGAAAATTAAGCTAAATATCTTGCGATAATTGTTAGTTATGCATCGTTAATGAAGGGTTGTGGGGAGTATAATTAATTTTAAAAGAGTGTAATTCATTAGGTATCCTGTAGATGGAGACAAAGTCGAAAATAATGGAGGGTCATTCAGGTTCATTATCCTCCTCGCCATGAAGGATTTGGTGTCATATAAGTACTGTGGTAGTTTGAATTACCATAATAATAAGTGGTTATTTCCACATTGGTGTAGATTTACATGGTATTCCGTGTAAATAGCCAAAGAACAGTGCAAAACTATTGCTGTACTGAAAATATTATACTACTAGTACTTATTCATTAGATACTAGTACTTATTAAATAGACACTAGTTGTTGTTTATTAGATACTACTACTTTTTTAATAGCGACAAACAATTCTGTTGTTACTAGTACCAAATTTACAATTTTTCTATATGATCTGTCATTGGGATTCAACTATTCAATTTTGATTATACGTATTCCAGCTGGGACTGGTCTAGTGCATATTTTTGTTTACTAGTAGTTAAAAATTAGGTACTGGTACTAATTCATTACAATATTTTTAAAAAGCACTAATATCAAATGAATAGGTACTAGTATCTAATGAATAGGTACTAGCACTTGATTTGATTTTTGATTTATTTATTTTCGAAAAAAAATATCATACATAAAATATCATTGACAAAAAGAAATATGTTTCAACATGGTCGAAAATGGAGCTGAAATTGGATGAAGCATAAGCTTATTATTCTCCCACCCCATTAGACACATACATCATTCGTTTATTACTTAAACTTATTTATTCTTTTACTTATCTCTTCTTTTTACATGAAACATATTTGATCCTTTTGGCATTGTACCTTTTCATTTTGTAACATAGACCCAAAGAAAAAAAAGAACAAAACACATAGTACTGCAAATAGAAACAAAGAAACAACAAGAACAACATAGTATACTGCAAATAGCCGTTAAATAAAATTTCATCATACTTTTCTCTTTTTATCCTTTTTCAATCACCTTCAATCACTAAAATATATTTATACAGTTTTTTTAAATTGATTAATATCCTGACGTTGTTTTAGACTCTGATCAAGACTGTTCCATAGTTATAGTTTACTTAATGAAAAAGATAGTAGTATTTAAAAAATAAGCAATAGTAACATGAAAATAGATACTAAAACGGGTTACAGATTAAATGTCAAAACAGCTTGCCAAAACATCCTGATACAATGGCACTAAATAAACTACTTGGGTTGTATTTATTTTATAGCATTTCTGTTAGAAGCTATAAATATTAAGTTAATATTTTATATACATCTTGAATGTGTATATTTATTTCCCAGAGTGTCACTTTTAAATCTGTTCAAGTTTCTTTCTTTCACAAATTAATATTTATTTAAAAGAAAAAAAAAACAGCCATTAAAGCCGCTTCATAGTATTATTTGTTCCTATGGATTTATGGATGTCAATGCAGCCTCGTAGCCTGTGGGTTTCGGGTGGTTCAAAAGACCCACCCCTCACTGACAAAGGTCCAAAATCTGTCCCATACATGAGCTCATTTGTCCTATTTTGACTGCTAAGCCATCATATGTGGTGAAATATTAGGTTAACTAGGCAGGTTAGGGTAATTAGGCAAGTTATTTTATAACGATGGTTTGTTCTGTAGACTATCGAAAATTTTGCTTAAAGGGGCTAACAATTTTGACCCTAAAATGGAGTTTAAAAAATTTAAAACTGCTTTTATTCTAGCCGAAATTAAACAAATAAGACTTTCTTCAGAAGAAAAAATATTATCAGACATACTGTGAAAATTTCCTTGCTCTGTTAAACATAATTTGGGAAATATTTAAAAAAGAAAAACATTCAAAGGAGGGCTAATAATTTTCCCTTTAACTGTAGTAATGTGTATTTAACATGTATGATTGGTACATCAAAAAGTGTGGTTATGAAGACCATCTGACAAGCTAACCCAGCTAAAAATGTCACTAAAAGCAACATTGAAATCTCATAATTAAATAGAAAATAAAGCGAATAACTCTAGAAAGTCTACCCCTTTCACCCTTTTTTAAAAATTTTTGTTGAACTGACCGTCACTTTAAATCAATACCCAAACAAGAGCATCACGCCAAGAGAGACCATGCTTTAAAAAAGATAACTTTTGACTAAATTCGGCTTTTCCTGTATATTCCAGGTGTACATTTTCACTATTTCACAGGAACAACCTTTAAACAGAAAGATAAAAAACGCTGAAGAATTTGCATTGCACATTCCTTCTGTTTTTTTAAACAATATATTTTTTATTTTTGAGATTGCATATTACTACAGGTTACGCAGTATATACCAATCTTGTAAGCACAGCAAACATTTTACATCCAGTTTTCCCATCCAAAACCCCAATCCAATCACCTAACAGAATGTTCCTGCACAATCAGAGAGGCTTTTACAAGACATTAAAAGCTTGCCATTTTTCCTGTAATGTCACATAATAAGGGCTCCTCTTATTAACCCACAGGCTCTCTGGATTCGCAGGATTCTCTTTTAACATAATGAGCTGATCTCGCTCTTGCTGCAGCCCCATTTGCAGCAGGCGTTGGACAGGCCGACCACGACATCACGGCCTTTCCTGTCTGACGTGCGCAGGGCCTCCAGCACTTCCTCTGAGATGACCGACCGGGCGGTACGGCTGAACACAGGGCCCTCCGAAGCCTCTGCTGCCCAGCTAGGGGTCTCCGAGTTGGGACGGGGTCTGTATGATAGTCCAGGGATGACTGAGTTTAAGGCCCATCTTTCAGAGGCCTCGTCATCATGAGCGGAGAGCAGATCACTGGACAGATCACCTGCACAACACATATGTACATAAATGATGTTGAACAGAGCAAGGACATTTTCACACTATGTCTGATCATATTTTTTCTTCTGGAGAAAGTCTTATTTGTTTTATTTCGGCTAGAATAAAAGCAGTTTTTAATTCTTTAAACACCATTTTAAGGTTAATATTATCAGCCCCCTTAAGTAATATATTTTTTAAAAGTCTACAGAATGAAATCATCATTATATAATGACTTGCCAAATTACCCTAACATGCCTAATTAACCCAGTTAAGACTTCAAACATCACTTTAAGATGAATACTTGTATTAGGGCTGCCTAATATATCATTTCAGCACCAATATTGCAAAGTGTGTGTCCACAATAGTCACATCGCAGGATATGCAATGTCAAGTTGGGATTACAGTTGATCAACAATTGAGAATACATAAGATTTGTGGAGTCATCACAAAGAATAACCATACCAGAGTGAAACTTTATTATTTCCCTGTGTTTTAAAGGCATGTTAAGTAAGTGTAAAGCATTCGGTCAATAATGTAAACATTTGTAACTTTAATGAAGAATCACTGATTTATTAAAACAATAAAGACTGCAGTGTTATTTACATTACATTATTAAATATCCGTATCTGAATACTGTTTGACTCTCCAGAAAACCATAACTGTTTATTTGATGTCTTCTTTGTTCTATTGTAATTATTCTTTCAAATTTATTATTCATTAATTAATTTTCTTTTTGACTTAGTCCCTTTATTAATCTGCAGTCGCTACAGCAGAATGAACCGCCAACTTGTACAGCATATGTTTCACGCAGCGGATGCCAATCACTGGGAACATCCATCCATACACACTAATTTACACACATACACTACATTCAAATTATAGCATACCCAATTCACCTATAGCACATGTCTTTGGACTGGTGGGGGAAACCCATGCGAACACGGGGAGAACATGCAAACTCCACACAGAAATGCCAACTGACCCAGCTGGGGCTCGAAACAGCGACCTTCTTGCAGTGAAAGGCCATTTTTAAACCACGACCGAGATACATTTGTCAGGGTTTTGATCCTATATTATATTACATTATATTATATTATATTTTATTACAAACTGACAGTAGGGGGCGTGGCTAAGTATGTGCGTCACGCTCAATACCTCAGACGTAATCTGAGAATTTAACTGAAAACAGGAACAATTAACAACTACTGAGAAAACATTAAGAAAACAAACTAATTATTCTGTTCACCACGAAACAAGCAATGTGAACTAACAAAATCAATATGGTTAGTTTTGATTTCATGCGTTCTTTAAATGTAATTTACCCTACCTGAATCATCCAGAGATCTCCTCCAGCGCGAGCCTCCGCAGGTGAAGATCACCGCCCGGATGAACTCTCTCCCGCAGAGCTTCACGCCGTAGATCGAGTGTCCATCTGTGGCCTGAGCGCCGCCCAGCAGCGCAACCAGCAGGCCAAACACGAGTACTGCAACTCTACACATCAGGACGACGAGACGTTTCAGGCACTAAAAACTACTTTGAAGTGATCCTTCGCGGTTTAAAAGCAAGTCTAACACCTTCTTAAGCTGCTGGTGTGTCTTTTATATGGAGCCTGTGCGGTTTACGTAGACTGTGATAGTGGGACAGAGACCTTTAGGAAGACAAAAGCCTCAATAATCAACCTGTGCACTTCTGTGGAGGCCATCATGTCCAATGAAACGACCTAATCTCATCACTCCTGACCTTTTTGTCACCATACACACCGTCTAATCGCACAAAATGTTGAATAAATTCGGATTTGAAACACACTAAATGATGCAGGTGACGTAGCAGCGATTAGATACATAAATATTCACACTACCCACATAGCAAAATTTCTCTGGCCCAGCTCTGGCCCACACAATCAGGTTTTGCTTGGCCCACATGCCGCATTGAATTACGGTACATGACTGGACCAAATCTGGCTTCCAGACAAGGGCCAAACACGGACCATATCTGGGCCAAGTCTCAGCCAAGTTAATAACTCATATCTGGGCCTGAACTGGGCCAGATAGGTTGGTGTGTCACGATTGCAATGAAATTGATAAACCCATGAAGTGATGTGCTTTAGGCACACTATGGGCATGCTTTTTCTCAAAGTGACCTGATTGGTAGAATTTATTTTGCTTTACTCAAAAATGATTTTAGTGTATTTTAAATGTGGGTCAAAACTGGCCAAACTCACATGGACCACTTATCAAATTTTTAAATCTGGGCCAAATACTACATTTTTCATCTGGCCCAAATCTTGTGTGCTGCCTTAAAAACGGTGCCACCTCTGCCAAACCCGGGCCATGTTTGGCCCACATGCTGTATGCCAGTGCCGGATGAATGCCTGCTGTGCCAGCTTTTTGCCAAATCTGGGCCAGAATTCTTTGCTACTAGGGTAGAGTAGGGCTATGTGGCCATATTTCATTGAATTAGCATGTAAATTAGGGACTGTGAGTCAAACCGTTTCAAAATTGTCATGTAGTTCAGCCAATACTCATCCTCAAATAAAGCATTACGAGTTTTTTTTTTCTATTTGGACTCATACTTTGAAGAATGTTGGAAACAACTGAGTTGTTAGACTGAATTGTTAGCCACTGACATCCATAGTAGGGACAAAAAAATACCATATAATATTACTATGGGTAACCGATTCCAACCCTGCTGAAAAATCCAGCTTAAACCAGCCTAGAACACGCATGGAATTGGCTTGGTATTCCAACATAGTCCCCAGTATGAGTGACCAGATGTCCAGTTTTTTCCCAGGACAGTTTCTTATTTCGGCTTTGCAAGAAGGGTCCAGTTAAAGCCAGTGCATATTGTAAAACAAAAAAATAAGATTCAGAAAGTCTTCATTATTAATGTGCAGCAAGAGAAGCCGGGATTGGCGGAATCATTCTGTACATGTTAATGGACTCATAACTAATCGCTGCCTTGGCCGCACACCCTCACAATCCTGCCCTCAAATAATTTAACCCAGACAGTGCATCCAAATCCAATGGCCTACACAACAGCTATCAAGAGGTTTATCGTTGCAAAGTAGCATATCTATAGCAAGAAAATACATGCTTAAATGTAACTGAACCAGTTAGAAAGCAGAGTTTTAAATGAATCAATTTCCCCTTTTGTAAACACGACAGTAATAATCCAGAGCAATCAAATATCGGCGCTGGCTCTCATTAGACAGTATATCTGAGAAAAATAAACACTTCTGTAATCGCGAGACCAACTGGGAAAACGGAATCAAGGATTTTAGCAATTTTTCAGTCATTTCAGCTCAGCTAATGTTTAAAGTGTTTAAAGATGAGAGGAGTCTGCAGACCTGGTGCAGTGCAATCTGAGCTGCATCCAATGATTTTTAATGGGCTTACCTAACCCCGCCCCTAACCCTACCCGTCACAGTGACGTCCCTCACTCCATTGAGAGCATTGTGTCTGACATTGCATCGCTGAGTGATGCAATCTCAGCTTGCATCATAAAGGCTGCATCCAGATACTGTTGTTAAAGATAGCCCTATTTTGTTGTAAAGCACTCATTTAGGAAGCATTGCAAATGTGTGTTTGTTTGTTTTTTTGGACCAGGATACAGCCTGGTCCAGGATTGTGGAGACCTCTAGAAGTCCTCTATGATTGGCATAATCTCTTCGCAGGACTTGACAGGCTAATTACATCTAAAGTGCTGTAAAAAATCTAAACAAACATAAGAAATAGGACTTTTCCTGACATTTGCACTGCGAAACCAAAACCCAGATAATAAACAATGAGAGCCTGATTAAATATCTGAGGTAAACAATGACTTCCATAATCAAACACCCTGCTGTACATCATCAGTTCACAGTTGCATTTTTTTAATATAAAACACACGGGGTGCAGGTTGAGTTTGCAGGCCTTTCGTGACACAAAGTGACATTTCAGACAGATAAGAAGAGAATATTGATGCAAGCCATGGTTATGTGTGAGTGTGCATGTGTGGTTACTCAGAATCAGAGAACAGCCTAAAAGCGTATCAGCAAAAGCCTGTTTCTGTTTAATCGTACAGTCATGTGATAAGAGAGTCTGCAGAATATGATTCAGACCCTGGCATTCACGGAGATAACAGCACATGGATGAGTCTTCAGCATATGGGCTAATTGGTTGCCTGTCTGACCTCACTGATTATAATATTATGATTAATATGCTAATGGACTCATGCTGCAGAGCTTTAATTAAGGTATTTTAAAATCAGAATGAAAATTATATGTATAGAGACCTTTCTTCTTAAAAAAAAAAATTATATATATATATATGTGTGTGTGTGTGTGTGTGTATATATATAAAGCGGCACAGTGGCTCAGTGGTTAGCACTGTCACCTCACAGCAAGAAGGTCGCTAGTTTGAGTACCGACTGAGTGAGTTGGCATTTCTGTGTGGAGTTTGCATGTTCTCCCCATGTTGGCGTGGGTTCCCTCTGGGTGCTCCCATTTCCCCTAGTCCAAACACATGTGGTGTAGGTGAATTGAATAAACTAAATTGGCTGTAGTGTATGTGTGTGAATATGAGTGTGTGTTTCCCAGTACTGGGTTGCGGCTGGAAGGGCATTCGCTGTGTAAAAGATATGCTGGATAAATTGGCGTTTCATTCAGCTGTGGTGACCCCTATATGTTTATAATTTCAGGTTACATTTGTTTTGTCCTATTATGTTATTATACACATTTGGGTATTTCTTTCTATCTATCTATCTATCTATCTATCTATCTATCTATCTATCTATCTATCTATCTATCTATCTATCTGTCTGTCTATCTGTCTTTCTGTCTGTCTGTCTGTCTGTCTGTCTGTCTCTCCCCCATCTCTCTCTCTCTCTCTCTCTCTCTCTCTTTCTCTGTCTCTCTGTCTATCTATCTATCTTTGCTTCAGTAATTTTATATAAAGAATTGTAATGTTGTGTAAATGTTTTATTATATTTTTATTTTGTCAATTCTTTCAAGCCTCCTGTGGACAGGTGTTGAGAATTAGCAAGTTTGCTTAAACACTTAAACAAATGCATTTGGTTGTCCGGTGTAATTGTGATCCCCATGTCAAATAAATAAATAAATAAATAAATAAAAATCTTCATGACTGTCTATACTGTACATATGTATTTATGTATGACATTTCCCTTACAAAAAAGTTATAAAGTGTTAATTTATTATATATTTTTATACGTACAAATTTGCTAATTATCAGTAATAATAAATATTAGCATATATCTTTATTGTTTGTATGTGTGTGTAATAGTTTTAGTAACATTGTTTTAGAGTAATGATTTATAAATTTGATTTTGCTCAGTTCGAGAAGAAATAAACAAAACACTTTGATACAACATATGCTAAATTTTTGTGCTGATCTTTTTAATCTTCAGATTTCCCTAAAAAACCCTCTCATTAACGCTGAACATGACATTTGATTGACAGCAATATGGTCCAATGTATGAGCGCAAAGTGGGCGTGTACTTCTTGCGCAATGCTGCAACACGACTGACAGCAACTACTGGCGAATCACAACGTAGGATTGTTACAGACACCCGCCTCATCCAATGAGGAAGAGAGAAGACCGTTTCCCTTGGCGACATGTAGCCAATCGGGTAAAGTCTACCAAGGATACAGCTGCTGCGCATGCGCACATCAACACAGCATAATTATTGTGACACTATACAACAAAAATTACAATTTATACGTTACAATAAGTAACAGTGTTAGGCGTGTGATAGGCTGCGATGTTAATAAAACACAATACAATAGGTGATTTAATAAATAATATAAATAACTCTCGTTAACTTCCGGCCAGAGCTGCGTCCCTTCTAGCAACAGTCAACCAATCGCTGCTAAACAAGAGGGCGGTGCTTAGACGGGTGGGTAGCAACAGTTGCCCCGGTGAGGACGAGGCGCCATAGTCACGGTAGTCGTGGCGACAAGAACCCAGCAACGAGAATCAACAACAATTTGAACCATTAAGAAAATAAAACTCCGCGCCAAACTAAGACCACCCGACAAGAGGAGAAAGGTGAAGGAACAACTTTATTTCCCGCAGCCTGCTCTTGTTTCTGTGTTTCAAGTGCTGAAGTGCGCTGGGCTCGATTTCCTCTTTTATCGCGCTTTAACTCGACCCCGCGCCTCTCGCACGCGCTGGCGGTTGTTATGACGATGTCAAATCTGCCTGAGCGCTACAAAATGGCGGGTGTTGTAACGTGAGAGTGTGTGTGTGACTTTTACTTCTTGTTGTTTGTTTATGGGGACCGTGACGTCAGGAGCGTGTTAAACTGAACTGATGACTGAAACGGGCGAGTAGTTCAGGATCAAATGTCAAATCGCGACTTTTGACAGTCAAACTTGTCGTGTTTTCCCCGCTGATTTGCTTGTTTGGAGTTTGTTTAACGCGATTGTCGGTGCAACGCTGACGTTTCGTGGTCCAAACTCTCTGTGGTTGGATTCTGAGGGGGTTAAAAACTTTGTCGAGGGAGTCGTCGATCAGCCATATGTGTGCCAGATCAGCTCCAGCGCGGAGGGAGTGGAGGGGGCGTGGTTTGGAGAGGGGCGTGGTTTTGGGGAGTGTTAAGGGCGTGATTGACACATGTCGGTCCAGTTATGTATATACAGCCACTGTTAAGATAAAAAAAATAAATAAACAGACCGCTTGACAGAAATTTTTCGGGATTTGTTAGTTTATAAATGTCTGAGAGCATATCAAATAAGTTTTTTTTTTAAAGATAAAATGACATTTGGTCAAAATAACGCGTTTTTATTTGTTATATGATTGAAAAATCAAGGCTATTCCGCCAAATATAGATTTTTAAATCTCTTCTGTAGGAAAACATTAGTTTTGTGGTACCAATGTGGTAAACATGCCACTTTTTTGTCTTAAAATGTTCAAAACAACAACTTTTTTTATTATATTTGTAAGAAATGTCATTAGTATTTCACAAATATATTGATTTTTGTAACTCTTCTGAGGTTAAACATTGGGATGTTTTGCTATTTCTGTGTAGACTATAGTAAAAAAATCTGCGGATTTATACAGAATGATTTTGGGAGTATCACAACTAAAAACTTATTATATGAAATAAAAAAGTAATAATTTTTAAATGCTTAAGTTCTATTAGATGCATTTATTTGGCAAATAAAGCACGTTTCTCATACAATATGTCGATCACATATCTACATATCTATTATTACTTTACAAATTGTATTGTAAGTAAATCATATAAACATTTTCATATTAGTCACTATTATTACTAAAATTAATTTAAAAACTTAATAAATCTAAGTTTACAGACATTTACACACAACTAAATAAATAGACTCAATGATGGGCTGAAATTTGCAGATTTCTACGGGTGCAGATTCCGTGTGGGCCTAGTTATGAGCAATTAAAGTGTCTACTGTTTGCTGATTTTAATTATATTACTATTTTGGAAATTAAAAGAGTTATTAAAACTTTTATGTTTGGAAATGTGTTAAAAAAATCTTCTCACTGTTAAACAGAAATTGGGGAAAAAATAAACAAGCGGAATAATAATTCAGGGGGGCTATGTTTTGAGTTTTTACTGCAAATGTCACATCCATAATGTTGGAATTGCTCATAGACTTAATCGTATAAATAATCATAAGTCAATAATTATGAATAATCTTATGTTACTGAGGTAAAATGATCCCAATTGTGGCTACAACTGTTGTGCTTATAATATTTTTTCCATTAAAATTAGAGCATATATGTAAAATTTTCAGCATATTTAAATTATATTTCAGCATGTTCTGATAACGGATACTTCAATTATAATTATTTATTAATTAAAGTCATTCATATCAGTGAATTCAGGCCCTTTTGATTCTGTTATTGGAAATTATTTCAATAATGTTGAGTTGTTCTGAACACAATGCCTTTCTCACTAACTCTGGTCAGAAGATTCATTGGGAAACTTTCCCTCCATCAAAAGTAACTTCATATGAACTGGCGCATGCTGTCATCACAAGACAAGGCACGCAGGAGCCGTCTGTTACCTCTAATTTGAGGCAAAACCAGAATACTGTTAAACAAGTTCAGCCAGCTCAAAACCGCAGAGGATTTATGTGCGCCTGACAGGGAAAGAGAACGGGTTTTGTTTTACATGCAGAGAAAACAACTGCAATTTATGAATATTAGGAGTTATTTTTAACTTTGACTTGAATCCGTTCAGAGTAAGAAGCTGTTCATTTAATAAACATTTTTACAGACAAACTTATCTAAGGATCACAGAGCAGCTCCAAAATACTCGTACAAGAACTATGACAAACTAGATATCAAAGTTTTAGGACAAACTATATGGTGAAGTCTGAAAGTTTAAAGTGGTTTTAATGTGTAAATAACTGAAGTAGTTTTTATGAAGTTTGAAACAGTCGGCATAGATATATACATATATGTCATCATGTTTCTAGTATAGATTGGCATGTTTCTTGATAGGCAGTTGCTAGGGTGTTCTGAGTGCTTGCTAAAGTGTTGCTAGGCGGTTGCTAAGGTCTTGCTAGGTGGTTGCTAAGGTGTTGCTAGGGTGTTCTGAGTGGTTGCTAAGGCGTTGCTAGGTGGTTGCTAAGGTGTTGCTATGGTATTCTAGGTCATTGCTTAGGTGTTGCTAGGTGCTTGCTAGGGTGTTCTGAGTGGTTGCAAAGGCATTGCTAGGTCGTTGCTAAGGTGTTGCTAGGGGGTTGTTAAAGTATTCTGAGTGATTGCTAGACAGTTGCTAACATACATTAGAATGATTCTAGCATGAATTAGCATAATTATAACATGAATTAGCTTGTACCTAACCTGTTTCTAGCATGAATTAGCATGTTACTATCGTGTTTCTAGCATGAATTAGCATGTTGTTAGCATGATTCTAGGATGCATTAGCATGTTATTAGCATGATTCGAACATGAATTAACATGTTACTAGCATATTTCTAGCATGAATTAACATGTTAGCATTATTCTAGCATGAATTAGCATGTTGTTAACATGATTCGAGTATGAATTAGCATGTTACTAGCATGTTTCTAGCATGAATTAGCATGTTATTAGGATGATTCGAGCATAAATTAGCACACACTAGCATGTTTCTAGCATGAATTAACATGTTAGCATGATTCTAGCATGAATGAGCATGTTAATAACATGATTCTAGTGTGTTACTATCATGATTCTCTTATGAATCAGCTTGTTTCCAACATGAATTAGCATGTTGTTAGCATGAATTAGCATGACTAGCATGTCACTAGTGTGTTGCTAGCATGTTTCTAGCAAAATTAGCATGTCAGTAGGATGTTAAAACTAAGCATGTGTTAGAATAGCTTGTCACAGTCTATGGGACAGTTCTAGGGTGCTGAAATTTGTTGCTAGGGAGTGGCTAGTAAGTTTAATGGTCATCAGTGATTGGCTGCTGGCTAGACTGAGTTGAATGAGCCCAGTTAGAAGTCTGTAGGACAGTCTGATGCAGAGTTATGAGCTCACAAAGAGAGAATTGTCAGAGTCATTTTTCGGAAAACCCAAAGTCTGATCAGTTTGAAAAGATATAGCAACCCAAGTCAGACCAGTTTGAAAGTTTGACAAAAGTTTGAAGTATGTAGCTTGAAAGGCTTAGTAGGAGATACACTTTAAAAATAGAAGAAGAAAAATAAGAAGTTTACGTGAGATAACAATATGTTTGCTTTTCAAGCCACCATAATAATGCACATTTCAGAAATATTTCCGAAAGTTCATTTGAATATTACCAGTTCTGCAAAAACCACAACATGACTCTTTAAAAGAGTCAGTTTATTTTGGAAATGACATTTTTTTTAATGTGAATATTTAGTGTATGTGAATTGTTAAGCACAGTTAGGACTGTCATGTCACTATAAATGCTGGCGATGTGTGCTTGATTTGTCCTCAAATCAGCTGTCTATGAAAGAGTGCGAACCCTGTGTGTAAGAATCTCCTCCATTTCTCAATTATAACACAACATATAAAGACATAAACCTGTGTGCCTTCGACATCCACCATGTCTTAATCTGCGTTTTTCTTCATTTCTGTTTGCAGAGGGATTTGTGCAGTTGTCGTCATGGCATCCTCAGGCTACACCGCCGAGGATCTTCAACCCTCCCAGACACAAGGGGGCAGCATTACAAATGCCACATCCAGCAGCCAGCAGAAAAACACTTCTCAAATTCTCTCCGACATCCAAAACCCTCAAGGATCGGCTTCCTCCATCATCAGAGCACAGGCCACGCCCCCTGCCACTCAAAAGAAGGCGGTCCTGGCCACGCCCTCTCCAGGAGTGCAGTATGTCACAGGAGAGATTCAAAGCTCCGCCTCTCAAACTGGAAACGGCAGTCAGCAGTACATTGTTGTGACAGTCACTGGTGAGCACACTACACACTACATAGTCAGCATCACAGCTAGTGCATCTGCAGACTGGTGTTCTGTGCATCGCATGTATGAATGTGTGTGTGTGTGTGTAATGTGATCCTACAGACACCTGATGCTTTCTAGGTCTCACTCCCTGAATAGAAAGACCTTGAAATAAACACGCAACAGCAGCAGTGTGTTACTTCCTAATGCACACTTACACACACCTTCTGCCTGGGCTTTCTACTTACACACAAACACACACACACACACACACATATAGTCGTGTTTTTCTGATGACTGAACATTGTAATGCTCTAATTGGCAGCTGTTATGACAGCACTGCCTACTCAGCGTCCTGGAGGAGTGTGTGTGTGTGTGGACAGACTTCCCACCACGGCAGCTTTATTAAGTAATGTAAAGTTTAAAATGAAGACATTATAACATTATAGTGGCTATAAAAATGTAAAACGACTAAATAAATTAATGCAAATGACAAAATTGTAGTAGTTTCTTAGAAAAAATGATCAGATTTAAGTACGACCCCAAATCAGAAAAAGTTGATAATATAGACAACGCAAATAAATAAAGAAAGTAGTTATTTCTACATTTGTTTTAGACTTGTATTTCATTGCAGACAATACAGCAAATATGATGTCAAAATCATGTGTTCCTCATGATTTTTATTTTCATAATAAACAACGCATTGCAACGCAACGCTTATGCAACACATTTCAAAAACTGTTGGAACAGTAAATCAATTTGTTCTGTTCTTTCTGCAAACAAATCTCAAGCTGGGCAACAGTACTGGGTCTTTGTTGTCACATTTTGACAGATTCTCTATTGGAGACTGGTCAGGACTGTAGGCAGGCCAGTCAAGTACCTGTATCATTTTTTCTGCAGCCAGGACTTTGTAATGTGTGCAGAATGTGGTTTTGCATTGTTGAAACTTTTTTTTGGAATGTGTTGCAGGTCTGAATGACAGGAAAGGGTGTATATTTACAAATGAAATGTTGACCGGACAAAACATAAAATATTTTGTGTGCATTTCATTGCAGATCAAAGTAAATTTGGAAGTCACTACTTTCTTTTTTATTTGCGTTTTCCACACTGTCCTAACTTTTTCTTATTTGGGGTTGTAATATGTAAAATGTATACTTTTATTAAGCCATGATTTATTAAACTGAATAAAGAAGAATAAAGAAGACAGTAAAGAAAATATTTTTATGTTACAAAGGATTTTTAAAGATATATATATGATTCATGATGTGAATCTCCCGTTCCGCCACATCCCAAAGGTGCTCTATTGGATTGAGATCTGGTCACCGTGAAGGCCATTTGAGTACAGTGAACTCATTGCCATGTTTAAGAAACCAGTTTAAGATAATGGTCATAAATCACATGGTCACTTTGGTTATAAAGGGATGGACATGGTCAGCAAAAATACTCAGGTTGGCTGTAGCGTTGGAACAATGCTCAATTGGTACTAATGAGCCCAAAGTGTGCCAAGAAAATATTCCCCAAATCATTACACCCTCACTACCAGCCTGAACTGTTGATACAAGGCAGGATGGATCCATGCTTTCATGTTGTTGATGCCAAATTCTGACCCGACCATCCGAATGTCGTAGCAGAAACGTAGACTCGTCAGAGCAGGCATCGTTTCTCCAATCTTCTATTGTCCAGTTTTGGTGAGTCTGTGTGAAATTTAGCCTCAGTTTCCTGTTCTTAGCTGACAGGAGCGGCACCCGGTTTGCTCTTCTGCTGCTGTAGTCCATCCGCGTCAAAGTTGGACGTGTTGTGTGTTCAGAGATGCTCTTCTGCAGATCTCGGTTTTAACGAGTGCTTATTCGAGTTAATGTTACCTTTCTCTCAGCTGGAACCAGTCTGGCCATTCTCCTCTGATCTCTGGCATCAACTAGGCATTTGAGCCCACAGAACTGCCGCTCACTGGATATTTTCTCTTTGTCAAACCATTCTCTGTAAACCCTAGAGATGGTTGTGCATGAAAATCTCAGTAGATCAGCAGTTTCTGAAATACTCAAACCAGCCAACAACCATGCCATATTCAAAGTCACTTAAATCTCTTTTCTTCCCCATTCTGATGATCGGTTTGAACTGCAGCAGATCGTCTTGACCATCTACATGCCTAAATGCATTGAGTTGCTGCAATGTGATGGGCTGATTAGAAATCAACATCAACATGTGGTTAGACAGGTGTACCGATAAAGTGTCCTGTGAGTGTATATAAACAGTTTTCACAAAAATATGAAGCAGCACAATGATTTTCAACTCTGATTATAAAATGCTGAAAATGTAGCTTTGTATTAAAAAACGCAAAACTGTACAAAGTCTTACAAAACTCAATAGTAGTGTATCTTCAATTATTATTTGTTTGCACAATTGCACATACATGTATACATTGTTAAAACAGCATAAATATCTGCAGAAAATCATGTTGACTTTTCCTCCTAAAAATTGAAAGAAAAAAAGTGTGATTGTTTTATAGAAGCATATAGTTCCATACAAGTGTATAGTTGTATAAAGCCTATACCATTAAATACAATAGCAAAAGCACCTTTATTTAAGCTGTAAACACTTGAAGGATTCCAAGATCAGAGTATAATTAAGCAATAAACTGAACAACAGGGAGTGAGGAGCTAAATAGAAAGCACAGGTAGAGTAAATCACACACACGTCCGCAGCTTTATTTCTCCCTCGCTCAATCTCTTTATCTGATACCCGTGTTTACCTGAACCAGAGATTTCTTGCCACATCTGTGGAGATTAATTGTTCAAGGCCGACCGTAAGAGCCTGATATAAAGACCAGTGGCTCGACGTGTGTGTGTTTACATCATGTTCTACAGTAGCTGTCTCTACAGTCTCGATCCAGTGCTCTACCGTAAGTATAAGCAGCGGATTTGAGCTCATTTGGATTGAACTGTTGGTTTGTTTTCATTTCCTCCTGTAGGTTTTCTAGTGAGCTAAACGCATCTTCCTCTCTGCACAGTCATTATTTCCTCTTTTGTGAGAGTGGTTCATCACGTGTTTCCTTCTTTTTCTGTTTTCTGTCTCTTTATCTTGCTCTTCAGCGTGTCTTCCTCTTAGTGTGTATGTGTGTCTCTCTTACACACGCAAACATTTAGGAAGATGTTAGATTTAGTAGTGTAAATGCCCATATTTTACACTTTTGCTGTATTTTTACAATGTTTTAATCAAATAGTTTGAACTTAAAAATTAAAACTTGATCTTTAAACTTTGTTTTGACTATCAGGGTGTCTTAAAAAGTCCTTTAAACAACATTTGAGGCCTTAAAAATTCTTAAATTTGCTGAAATATTGTGATGTTGGAGGTCTTAAATAATTTTAAAGAGGTCTTAATTTCCCTATGTCCATGTAAAATCTCCAGCAATCAGCCGCAATATTTTTTGTTGCTGTTGTTGTATTTAAGTTTTGATTGCAAAGAGATTTACAACATCTGTTAGAGATTTTAACAGCAACTTCTCCAAATTAAATTCACTAATCAGGGAAAGAAGACTTAAAGCAATTACACAATTCCTCATGTGGAATATATGCCATTACATAATCTTACATTTCTACCAAAACTATTTACAGAAGAACGGGGGAGCGGACATAATATTTATAAATAGGCATGAAATATATTAATAAATGAGTATTAAATGTAACCTTTTATGACAGAAACACATTCGTTTGAACTGGTCTTATGTACTTAATCCAAATCTTTTTGATTTTTCACACAGAATGCATAATAAATATACTTTTAACAATGTTACACTTGTTAATTTAACGCTATGCTAAAAAAAAGTGCACGTTTATAACTAGAGTTTGCTTGTTTTGACTCATTATATAAAATATGTGGCTAATAAATGACTAAATTTGGTTTATTTTTTAATGAGGCAGGTAAAACCGTTAGAAAAATTGCCTAGTGTTCAGCCCTGTAAAAGTCTGAAACTTATTCATAATAGTCTGAAAAAGGTCTTAAATTTGACTTAATGAAACCTGGAGAAACCCTGACTACTGTACCTTATAAAGTACAGTAGTCAGGGTTATTTATTAGTAATTTTGTTCACTCATATCAATGTTTTGTGGTGAACAATTCATCTGTGCATGCCATTAAGAAGAAAAAGTATAGTTTGCCCTTGTAATCTTTTATTGCAATCTGAAAATGCACTTTTTGATTGTTTTCAGTTAAATCCTCAGATAAGGTCAGTCTGTGGCACTGGGGTATAACAAAGACTATAGAATACACAAGACATGTCACTCGTATCATATTGAATAGGGAAAAGTGCAACGGTCATTATGGTGATTAAGCCAGCCTTGAAGTACAGGAGCCAATCATTGATCGCTATATTGCAAATGAAGCCCGCCTTCTAGTACAGGAGTCAAACATTTATCGGTATAGACTGATGATACTCCGGGGGAGGGGCTCAGACCAGACGTGAGCTTCTGAAGATTTTGATTCGGACGTTTAGAAATGAAACTAAAGGGTCAGTTGTTGTTTAATTTTATTGGTGATTCCTAATATGAAATTTAATTGTACGCTTGGCAAGCAGTTTTGGAGAATTTGATGTTTCCCCATTCAAATAGAAGGCCCGAGCATACTGCCTAAGAGGCGTTTCAAAGATGGCTACTGAGTGAAATTACTTGTCATGAAGGTGCTTTGGGTATAACTATGTTAGCCACGCCTCCTTCAACTGTCAGTTTTGGTAATAAACAGAGGAGTCTGTTCTTTTCACCATCTTTCTGAATAAAATGCCTACTTCATCCAATCAGCTTGCAATAGAAAAAAATAAGCCACACCCACTGTGTCCTCATTTAATATACCCTTTCTTTAGGAACTGCGTCACAATACGAAAAGAAAAAACAGTTGTAGCTTCCGGTTCATACAGACTTTAAGATGATTTTCACATGTAGATGATGTCTTATAACTGTAAATATGTTGTCATTTTAAATGAAACCACGAAATTAGTAATGGCGCCATAAGAAAATAGGCAAAAAACGGAAATTAATATGTAAATGTGGGCGGTCTTATGTTAATGAGGTCATGATTTAGGTAACTTCAGCTTTGTGTTGATAAACGTGGTTTTCTAATTTAAATAAATTAGTTTTTGGGCCTTCTTTGTATCAAAATTCTTAAAGTTTGTGTGAAATTAAGCATTTTAATGTTTTTGGTAGCACATTTTTTTTAGGTGAATAATTAATTCGTGAAATCAATCAATCAACTGAATTTTTTTTTTTTGAGTAATCTTTAATTAAATTTTGACCATTTGCTTCTGTGTTTGGATTAGTTCATTCTCTGATGATGTCAGTTTGACGTCTTAGCCACACCCCTCTTACCATTAGATTGCTATGTGTTTGGACTGTGAGGGGAAAAAGGAGCACCCGGAGGAAACCCACGCCAACACGGGGAGAACATGCAAACTCCACACAGAAACGCCAACTGACCCAGCCGGAGCTCAACATCAACACACTGAAATAAAAGTCTCAGCAACTTCAAGCTCATAACCACTGCAAAAGAATCGCTTGGTGTACCCTTAATATGCAAATGTGTTTTTTCTGTCAATCTGATCATGCTGTATAGTGATTTACTGTTTATATTGTGTGTGTGCAGAGGGTTCTCTCAACTCCAATGACTCTGAATCAAACTCTCCCCCTGCGGTTCAGACTGGTGTTCCCACACAGGTAGTGCAGCAGGTTCAGACTGCACAGGTAATACACACACACACATTTATACATGTGTCAGGGCTGTGTCTATCTGATAAAATCATAACTGAGATTATTTGTGTCCAGCAGAGGTCAGTAGTTCAGGCGACAACCAAGAGTGGACAACTGGGGGTCAGTAATCTACACATAACACCTGAGGTATACACACACCCACACTCATAAAAAAGAATATATATATATATATATATATATATATATATATATAAGCAAGAACAGATTTGGTGTGAAAGTCTTTTTAAAGTCTGCTAAAGCTGATGTTGGTTTGCATCTGCATGTCCAGCATGTGTTCTCCAGTCAATTTGTGGAGGGAGACGCCGACTACAGCAACAGCTCAATGTGAGCATCAACACAGATCTCACTGCATATAGATTCAGCTCCTCTTTACTCCTGAAAACATTACTCTTTACCCTCTTCATCTCTCTCTGCTTCAGTCGCTCTAGTAGCTACCAGTTCCCAGACTCCGCCCTCTACTCCCAGACCACGCCCTCTGTCACCTACTATGAGGCGTCTTCCACCACGGGCTCTCAGGTCACGTCCCCGTCCAGCTCTCAGCCGGTGTCAGTGACGTCCGGGGCAGGACTGTTTTCTGAGGGCGGAGCGGGCATCACCGTGGTGGCTGGAGGGTCTTCTTCAGCAGCGGGTGTGGTCAGCAGTGGGGGGGTTGGCAGTTATGTCATTCAAGGGGGGTACATGCTTGGCGGAGGTCCTGGAGGAAACCAGAGCTTCTCACCCAACACACGCGCATCGCCTGCAACTGTGAGTATATTTGTTGTGAATGATTCAAATTAAACTGAGTCATTAGTGAGATGCTAATGGTCTAATCAGATTCAATGATTTATGCTAAGCTAAATGTGTCGGACCCGGCTGAGTGTAGTAAAAAATGTTCAAATTCACCTGTTTACCTCCAGGGGAGCTGTAAAATGAGCCTATTTATACACAGGAGTCAACATCTGAAGTGCATCAAAACATTTTAAAACGAGCCTATTCCTAAAAAAGTGTTCCTTTAAATCGTAGATCTCAAACTCAATTCCTGGAGGGCTCCTGGAGGGTTTTGCTCCAACCCTAATCAAGCACACAGCTTATGCAACTATTTAAGGTGTTCAAGACTCTTTTGCACACCTCAATTATTTGGATCATCTGTGTTTGATTAGGGATGGAGCAAAACCGTGCAGAGCTGCAGCCCTATGTATGTATATATCTATGTATATATATGTATGTATGTATATATGTATGTATATATATATGTATGTATGTATATATCTATGTATATATATGTATATATCTATGTATATATATGTATATATGTATATATATATATATATATATATATATATATGTATATATATATATATGTATATGTAATGTATATATATATATATATATATATATATATATATATATATATAAATGAGAAGCACTATTAATATTATTATTAACACATTATTAAAACTAACAAATTTAACAAATACAAAATAGAAATAATATGTGAAAATAATACTAATATATAATAATAAAAATATGTTAGAAATGTTGCCCTAAAAATAACTGAAATGCAAAAAACTTTGTAAAACTATAAAAATCTGAACTTTAAACTAAATATAAATAAACAAAGCTAAATATATTTTTAAAAACAATATATAACAATATATAAATATATAAATCAGAATCACATAAAATTACTAAAATAAAAACGACAAAATTAGTAAAACTATAAAAAAAAATTTGAATGGCAATTAAATTAAATAATTGTATGTATTAAAATTAGGGACGTCCAGATCCAATTACATGATCGTATATCGGGCCAGATCACACGGTTTCAGACGCGATCAAAATCGGAAGTTACCTTCCCAACGAGGACTATCTGTGTGTGTGTGTGTGTGTGTGTATATATATATTCTCATTATTTTTTAACACATCTACAGTTATGCAGTGGCATAGAGTGTGACATCTTTCTTGACATAGGTATTATATGTATTAGGTATTATAAAGTTGATGATGACAACACTGCCATAGCAAACTGTGAAAATCAAATGATTCAGAGTTGTACTCGAGGGCAGAAAAACCTGATGGGGACATCCCTAATTAAAATGTATATATATTTTTTACTGTTAGCAATTTAAAGTTATTAAATATAACTGAAATAAGTACTAAAATTACCTAAAATAATCAAAATCACAAAAAAAAAAAAAAAAAAAAAAAAAAAAAAAAAAATATATATATATATATATATATATATATATATATATATATATATATATATATATATATATATATATATATACATACATACACAAATATAAAGCTGATTTAAAAAAATCTAAATAAATAGTATTTCAATAATACCATTAAAAAAGAAGTTAGTTTAGGAATTCAACTCCTGATGATATCCACATTATGTTTCTATTTACTTTTCTCACTGAAATGTTGTGCTGGTGCAAATTTTTTATTCACATCTGGATTTGACATGCAAAGCTGAAATCACAAGTGCATTATGGGTGTTGAAGTCTTTAAACCCGTTTTATGTCTACCTCCAGGTGCAGTGGCTGATGGATAACTATGAGACGGCAGAAGGAGTAAGTCTTCCTCGCTGTACTCTATACTGTCATTACCTCCTGCACTGCCAGCAGACCAAACTGGAACCCGTGAACGCCGCTTCCTTCGGGAAACTCATCCGCTCTGTGTTCATGGGCCTCAGAACCAGACGTCTCGGCACCAGGTACAGCCACACTGTCCACCGCTACTGTGCTGCAGTACAGCTTCAATGCTGCGTTTTAATATATTCACTATAGTGGCTAGCTCCGCCCACACTCAAATCTCATTGGTTTAGAATTTTACATAAAAATGATCTCTTCACAGTTTACATACATGCACACACACATGCATATACATGTGGATCTACGATAAATCCTCACACAAAGAGATGCACAATCAAATGTGTGTGTGTGTGTGTGTGTGTGTGTTGTTTCAGAGGGAACTCCAAGTACCATTACTATGGCCTTCGGATCAAGAGCAACTCGCCCCTGCACAGACTGGTAGAGGACCAGCAGCACCTGGCCATGAGACAACAGCCATACTCACAGAAACAGAGGTGTGTGTGTGTGTGTGTGTGTTGATAATCACTTGCTGTTGTTAGTTTGATTGACAGTGTGTTCTCTTCAAAAAGGATAAAGCCTGTGCAGAAGATGGAGGGCCTGACCAATGGAATGGGTCTGGGGGCGGGGCATCAGCAGGGGGCGGGGCTATCAGACATCAGTTCCCAGGTTCACCAGTATCAGCAGTTCCTGGGTAAGATCATTATGAAAGTGCCTTCTGGATTACAGGATATCCATGTGAGTGCAGGATATGACATTTGTTAGTTGCGTCTCAGGTGATTCTCGCCGTCTGCCAGAATTCCCTGAACTGAAAGATGATGGGAAATCTCTGCCGGACGGACTCCTTCCTCAGTATGTGCACGTGTATCAGCTGGTCTACAGAGAGCACTGTGAGGTGAGTGTGTGTGCGCTCAGGATATCAGGTGTGTGTCTGCTTTAGGAGCTTGTGTGTATAATGTGCACGTGTACTCGTAGGCTATTCTGGATGTGATGGTGAACCTGCAGTTCACTCTTGTGGAGACGCTGTGGAAGAGTTTCTGGAGGTTCAGTGAAGGACAGACCAGCAACTCGGATGCACTGGACCTGTGAGAACTGCTCACAAACACACAAACTAGCACACAGTTTTGTGTCTCTCTGACGACTGTGCTTGTCTTTGCAGTCATGAAGAATCAGAGAAGCGCTTGCCGAAGTCAGTTCTGGTTCTGTTGTGTAAATATGAGCCCATCATCAATTGGACCCGCGAATGCGACAACTTGCTGTACCAAAGCCTAGTGGGGATCTTCATCCCTGATGTCCTGAGACCCATCCCCAGTGAGTTACACAACACTAACTGCACCACTAGGGAATCACACAAACTCTGTATCAACTGCATCACCAGCGGGTTACACAACTCTACACACTCTATATTAACTCCATCCTCAATGAGTTACACATCTTTACACTATCGTCATTCCTAGGGAATCACACAACTTTACACAAACTATATATTAACTCCACTACTAGTGAGCCACTCAGCTCTACTCAAACTTTATATTAACTTCATCCCAAGCGAGTTACACAACTCTACACAACTCTACATTAACTCTTTCTGCAGCGAGTTACACGACCTTACACTAACTTTACTCAAAAGGAATCACACAACTCTACACAAACTATATTAACTTCATCTCCTGTGAGTTACACAACTCAATATTAATTCCAACCCCAATGAGTTACACACATCTATACAATCTTCATATTAGCTTCATCCTAGGGGAGTTACACAACTCTACACTACCTTCATCCCCTGGGAATCACACACAGCTCTACACAAACTGTATAAAACTACATACCCAATAAATACAACAACTCAAATTCTCTCCACTTTGAATTACACAACTCTACACAAACTCTATATTAACTTAATCCCAGCAGTTACACGTCACTACACTAACTTCATCCCTGAAGAATCACACAACTCTACATTAACTTCATCCCTAGGCAATCACACAACTCTATATTAACTCTCTCAGCACTGAGCTACACAACTCTTCCTTAACGTCATCCCTAGGAAACCACATCTATATTAACTCCAAACCTAATGAGTTACACAACTCTACATTAACATCATAACAGGAGAGTTACACTACACTTCATTCCCAGGGTATGACACAAACTGTATAAACTTCCATCCCAGGTGAATTCCACAAACACTATTGGCCCGTTTCCACTGAGTGGTACGGTACTGTACGCTTTTATGGCCGTTTCCACTGTCAAAAGGTACCAAGAAGCGAACTGCACGTCAACACTTTTTGGTTACCTTTTGCAAAGGGTGCCTAAAGCCTGGTTTATACTTCTGCGTCAAGTGACCGGCGTGACCCACGGCGCATGCAACACGCGTAGCTGTGCATTTATACTCCTGCGCGCTGTCTCTGTTGGTCTGAATTAACACTTCTGAAACGCTAGTGGGCAGTGAAGTGTAAATGTTCCTCTGTGTCGAGTTTCTTCGCTGCTGTTTTGCTTTTATTGAACACTTCCTGGATGTACAAGTGGCTCAAACTCGCTTATTTTGAGGCAGGAACCGGCGGACGTGCAACAACTTTAACTATGAGGTAAACACAATACAAAACTTTCCATCCGGAGCTCCTTCACGGGACTCCACACTTGTAAACAATCGCTCCATTGGGCTCGTGTCCAGCTCGCGCTATTCGCGCGGCTCTCGGTCCCGCCCAGACTCATCAGCGCTACCAAGCCGACCAATCACAGAGCTTACACTATGCGTCGTTGCGACGTGTAGTTACAATTTTTGAGAGGTGTACGTCAGCGACGAAGGGCTATGCGTCAGCGCCGTAGCATACGCCGGCGTTTGACGCAGAAGTATAAATCAGCCTTAACAGGCGGAGCTAGACGCGCAGCTGAACGCTATTGGTTTACAGAGATACTTCACTCGCAGAAGCCATGGTCGACCCAAGCTCAAACAAACCTTGTCGTTGTCTTGATGAAGAGCCTCAAAGCCAAAAAGAACAAAATCTGCCGTGTCCTGTTGTTGTTTTACGGGCCCGTCTAAAATAGCATGCTGTTTCACTTTCTCCAGGAAGCTTGCGATCGATTGTGTGCGCGTCTATATTTGAAATAACGAACTTCCTGAGCTAATGATAATAACGTGCGCATGATTATTGAAGTATTTCTAACATCTGATCCTTTTAGAAAAGGACAAACGCGAGAGTGGAAACACAAGCCTGATAAAGGTGACCCGTACCGTACAGTACTGTACCAGTCAGTGTAAACGAGCCATATGTTAACGTTATTCATAGTGAATTACACAACAAGTATTAAACTCCATCCATTCTGACTTTATAACAGAGCTCAACTTTTTGTACAATATGTTTTACAATATCTGTGTTTGTTTAGCCGTTTGGTTGTAGTAGCATTTAGTTTACCTTTATTTATTTTGACTTATTCTGTCTCTGTCTCCCTTAAGGTGCCTTAACTCAAGCCATCCGTAATTTTGCTAAGAGTCTGGAGAGCTGGCTCAGCAACGCCATGATCATCATGCCAGACGAGATGGTGAACATCAAGGTCTGATACACACACACAGATCTCCTTGGTCTTCCTCCTTTATTTTAGTACACTCATACTAGCGCTGTGTGTGTTTTGTGTTGTGTAGAAGTTGTGTGCCGGGGCGTTCGCTCAGACTCTGCGGCGCTACACATCCCTCAATCATCTGGCTCAGGCAGCACGAGCCGTCCTGCAGAACACAGCTCAGATCACACAGATGCTCAGCGACCTCAACCGTGTCGACTTCACTAATGTACAGGTAAAGAGGCTCGCTTTATTCAGGGTTCCCACTCCAAACCAAATGCCAAATTCCCTGACAAACAGCATAAAAGCACAGCGGCGCAGATCACTGCAGAATTAAATGTGCACCTCCATGAAAACTGTTCGTCTGGAGCCCCACAGGGTGAAAATACATGGCCAGGCTGCTACAGCCAAACCTTTGGTCACTAGTGCCAGTGCCAAACGTTGGTTTCAATGGTGCAAGCAGGGAAAATCTTGGGCTGTGTACCATATGATACATGTATTGTTTTCTGATGAGTCCACCATCACTGTCTTTCCCACATCCGGGAGAGTTACGGTGTGGAGAAGCCCCAAAGAAGTTAATCACCCAGACTGCTGTATGCCCAGAGTAAAGCATTGGGGAGGATCAGTGATAGATTGAGCTGCAATATCATGGCATTCTCTAGGCCAGGGATGTTAAACTCAACTCTTGGAGTTTAGTTCCAACCCTAATTAAAGGGCCATGAAACACACCTCTACTTTGGAAAAAGTCAGAAAAGTGGGCGCGTCTAGCTTTGTTTAGGGGGGAGTGTCGGAGAAAGAAAAGAGGGATGGTGTGGGAGTGTCTATTTGCGCACGCGCTGAATTTCAGAGTCAAAATACACACACAGGGAACAAAGTGACTGTGTTTACATGGACATCTGTAGTTGAATTATTTGCCAAATTATTAAATGGTGGACTTTAACTGCAGTTTGGCTCTTTCATTCAGGGAATTCATTCATGTCCCTCGCGACAAACGAGATATTTGATTCGATGAACTGCTCTAAGCGTGTATTTTTCATGCAATGTTTGATACCGCACGGCGAATGAGAGAAAAAAAACTCCGCATTTCCCAGAAACTTAGATGCACACAGCAAGTAGTGTCAAAAAGCCGCGTGTGTTATTCCGGTCACAAAATGCGGTGAAGATCCTACACGAGGTAAAAGTTTGGTTGTAGTGCTAACATGTTTACACTCGGTGCTATTGTAGGTTGATACGAACAAACTGAATAAACAAAGAGCACTGGTCGCTCACTTACCAAATCTGTAGAGACAGGACAATCACCAGCAACTAGAGCCACGTCTTTATTAAGAGAATACTACAAGCGAATCCGGATCTCAGCGTTTGCAGATGAGAACAGCTCTCAGGTAAACAATAATCCCCCTTAGACACGTAAGTTATTGTTGTCGAGCGTCGCGTACACTTTAATCCACACGTGACTCTGAGCTCTCACAGAGAGAAAATGAAAACAAAACTTAACTGCAGCAAACTATAAAAGCAACACTTCACGCTTGTTTTGCCAACACAACGTGGCGTCTCTGTCGTCTAAACACTGTGACAGTAATGAATATTAATGAAGTTGCACAATAGAGCACGCTGACTGGTTTGAACCAAGCTTTACTCATGCATTAATGCATCACACTGTAAGACGTAATGTCACAGACGCCCAGTCTGCACGCTGGAATACACGCTATTATCTCATGACCGTGACGCAGCTTCAAAAATTCGTTTCAAACCGGAAGTACGAATTTGCTTAAAATAACGCCAAAACAACCAATTTACACTTTTTAGTGAAATATAGGTGTCCTAATAGTGTTTTAAGCAGTGTGGGACACATATACGACTGTCAACAGCTCAAAAAATGTTTTTTGGTGTTTCGTGACCCTTTAAACACACCTGATCAAACTAACTGAGTCCTTCAGGCTTGTTTGAAACCTGCAGGTAAAGTGTGTTGGAGCAGGGTTGGAACTAAACTGTGCCGGGTCGGGCCCTCCAGGAATTGAGTTTGACATCCCTGTTCTAGACCCAATATTTGTGCTAGATGGGAGCTGGGTCACTGACAAGGCCTGCTGAGCCATTCTGGGAACCATGTGCACCCAATGGGTCAAACAATGTATCCTGAAGGCGATGGTGTGTATCAGGATGATAATGCACTAATACACACAGCAAGACTGGTGACAGCGTGGTTTGAGGAACATGAGAGTGAAGTTGAACATCTCCTATCTCCCATTTTCCGCATTTTAAATGATGACACAACTAATTATATACATTTCTATCATGTTTGACTGTCAAAACTGCAACGTCACGTCAACAACCCATGTGTGTGTGTGTGTTCAGGAGCAGGCCTCGTGGGTGTGTGGCTGTGAGGATGGTGTGGTCCAGCAGCTGGAGCGCGACTTTAAACAAACCCTGCAGAATCAGAACTCTCTGGAGGAGTGGGCTGCATGGCTGAACGAGGTGGTCTCGCTGGTGTTAAAGCCATACACCAACAGCCCAGCTTTCCCCAAAGCAGCCAAACTCTTCCTGCTCAAATGGAGCTTCTACAGGTGACATGGCTGCTTGCTGTCTGATGTACATACTGGTTTTAATATAATGTGGACCCGTATGCACAACATGCTACATTAGCTGTGCTTGTGTCTGTCTATATCCTGAGCTCACTGAGAGTGTGTTCTGTAGTTCTATGGTGATCCGGGATCTGACCCTGCGCAGCGCGGCCAGTTTCGGCTCGTTTCATCTGATCAGACTGCTGTATGATGAGTACATGTACTACCTGATTGAGCACAGAGTCGCACAGGCCAAAGGAGAGACACCCATCGCTGTCATGGCAGAGGTACACACAGATGCACACTGTCAGATATGCTGTCACACAGTAATCTAACTTTGGGTTTGTTGTTTCAGTTTGCCAATCTGAACAGAAGTCAGAGATCAATGGATGGGTATAAAGGTATGCACATTCAAAACATGCAATTATTGGATGTTCTTCTGAGTGTGATCTTACAGAAACCACATTGCTGCACTCTAGCAACCACACAGGACATTTTAGCAATGCTTAAAAGATCATCAGTGTTGGAGATCCCTAAAATGTCCTGGGTGGTTGCTAGAGTGCAGTTTCTTGGGGTTCCTGTAAGACCAAGGAACAAGAACACACTAGACAGCTAAACCCTAGCAACCTTCAGCAGCCTGGAAACCAAACTTTGTAGTAATTCTTGAGTAACCTTCTAGAACAGTCTAGTATTCCCATATTAATAATAAAATAACCAGCTAGAAGGCCCATAGCAACACTCTAGCAACTTCAAATAGTAACACTTTACCAATTGCCAAAGATCTAAAAGTCAAGAGCAAATCCCTAGCAACCCCATAGTAACGCTCAGGTCATAAACAATAACCTAGTAGTCACTAGCAAAACCCTAGCAACCCCATAGCAACCCTCAGGTCATCAACAATAACCTAGTAGTCACTAGCAAAACCCTAGCAACCCCATAGCAAACCTCAGGTCATAAACAATAACCTAGTAGTCACTAGCAAAACCCTAGCAACCCCATAGCAAACCTCAGGTCATAAACAATAACCTAGTAGTCACTAGCAAAACCCTAGCAACCCCATAGCAAACCTCAGGTCATAAACAATAACCTAGTAGTCACTAGCAAAACCCTAGCAACCCCATAGCAAACCTCAGGTCATAAACAATAACCTAGTAGTCACTAGCAAAACCCTAGCAACCCCATAGCAAACCTCAGGTCATAAACAATAACCTAGTAGTCACTAGCAAAACCCTAGCAACCCCATAGCAAACCTCAGGTCATAAACAATAACCTAGTAGTCACTAGCAAAACCCTAGCAACCCCTTAGCAACCCTCAGGTCATAAGCAAAACCCTAGCAACCCCATAGCAACCCTCAGGTCATAAACAATAACCTAGTAGTCACTAGCAAAACCCTAGCAACCCCATAGTAACCCTCAGGTCATAAACAATAACCTAGTAGTCACTAGCAAAACCCTAGCAACCCCATAGCAACCCTCAAGTCATAAACAATAACCTAGTAGTCACTAGCAAAACCCTAGCAACCCCATAGCAACCCTCAGGTCATAAACAATAACCTAGTAGTCACTAGCAAAACCCTAGCAACCCCATAGTAACCCTCAGGTCATAAACAATAACCTAGTAGTCACTAGCAAAACCCTAGCAACCCCATAGCAACCCTCAAGTCATAAACAATAACCTAGTAGTCACTAGCAAAACCCTAGCAACCCCATAGCAACCCTCAGGTCATAAACAATAACCTAGTAGTCCCTAGCAAAACCCTAGCAACCCTCTGGTGAACACCAAAAACAACCTAGTTGTCAACAGCAACCCCACAGTAACCTTCTGGCAACCACAACGAACAACCTAGCTGTAGTCAATAGCAACGCTCTAGCAATCACAAAGTAATCACCAAGAATCTAGTCGTCAATAGCAATCCCATAGTAACCCTCTGGTAATAAACGAGAACACCCTAGCAGTCATTAGCAGCACCTTAGAAACCCCATAGTATCCCTCTGGTGACCACAAAGAACAAACAAGCAGTAGTCAATAGCAACACCCTAGCAACCTCATAGTAATTCTCTACTGCTAGGTTGTTCTTTATGGTTACTAGTCATTAGCAACACTCTAGCAATCCCATAATAATCACCAAGAACATAATTGTCAATAGCAACCCACTGATAATCCTCTGGTAATGAACAAAAACAACTTAGTGGTCAACAGCAACACCCTAGCAACCCCATAGTATCTTTCTGGTGACCACCAAGAGCACAGTAGTCAATAGCAACACCCTAGCAGTCACAAAGTAATCACCAAGAACCTAGAAGTCAATAGCTACCCCATAGTAACCCTCTGGTAATGAACAAGAACAACCTAGCAGTCAACAGCAGCACCCTAGCAACTCCATAGTAACCCTATGGTGACCACCGAGAGCACAGTAGTCAACAGCAACAACCTAGCAACCCCATAGTAAGCCTTTGGTTACAACCTAGAGCCTAGTAGTCAATAGCAACACACTAGCAACCCCAAAGTCATTTTTTGGTGACAACCAAGACCACAGTAGTCAATAGCAACACCCTAGCAACCCAGCAGTAACCCTTTTTTAATGAACAAGAACAACCTAGCAGTCAACAGCAACACCCTAGCAACTCCATAGTAACCCTATGGTGACCACAGTAGTCAACAGAAACACCTTAGCAACCCCATAGTAAGCCTTTGGTTACAACCTAGAGCCTAGTAGTCAATAGCAACACCCTAGCAACGCCAAAGTACTTTTTTGGTGACAACCAAGACCACAGTAGTCAATAGCAACACCCTAGCAACCCCGCAGTAACCCTTTTGTAATGAACAAGAACAACCTAACAGTTAACAGCAACATCCTAGCAACTCCATAGTAACCCTATGGTGACCACAGTAGTCAACAGCAACACCCTAGCAACCCCATAGTAAGCCTTTGGTTACAACCTAGAGCCTAGTAGTCAATAGCAACACCAAAGTACTTTTTTGGTGACAACCAAGACCACAGTAGTCAACACCCTAGCAACTCCACAATAACCCTCTGGTGACCAACAAGATCCTTGTAGCCAATAGCAACACCCTAGCAACCCCATGACAACACCATCAAGAACAATCCAGTGGATCAATAACAACACATAAAGACAGAGGGTGCTGCAGTATGAGTAAATGTGATTGGCTGTTGTCTCTGTGTGTGTAGATGAGGAAGATGAGGAGGAGGATGAGGAAGAGACGGACGAGGATCAGGACATGTCTGTTCCAGTAAACGCAGTGGTTCTGGAGGAGTCGCTGGAGCCGCCGGTTAAACTGGCTAGAACAGAGCTCTACACTAACAACAGCAGCACACAGAACTAACACACACACACACACACACACACACACACACACACACACACACACACACACACACTTTTACATCTAAATGCAGTCTTCAGTTTAGTGAATTACTAGAGGAAATTGAGTTGATTCACTGTAAACCGGATGAGGTGAATCAGGCCTCAGAGCTGCTGTATGGTTGATCCGATGAAGCTTTTTGTAGACAACAGTTACATTTACATGCCTTAATTATGCTCTCACACACACACACTCACTCATTGCCTTCCCCTTTATCAATCAAAGCTGCCATGTGTGTCCTGTGTCTTGACTTTTAAAGCAACAGTTCATCCAAAAGTGTAAGCTTTCACGCTCATGTTGTAGCAAAAACTCAAGTGTTTCATTGACGACATGCTTTATTTTGAGGTGAACTGTCCCTTTAAGAGTCTCCATGCTGCCATTTTGTTTTGCCAAAGCCAATCATACCTTATCTAGGCCTGTTCCTCATTAATATTCTTGAGCGTTTCTCATGTCCTTCTTCCATGGTTATTTTGTTTTTCTCTTAATTATAACGAATATGATATATATATACTATAATCAGCGCATTATTTTGATTTGATTGTGTAATGCTAATGGATCAAATGTGCCTTCAGAGGATTATTCATGCTAGAGATCCATAAACGTCTAAATAAATGTCAAAAACCATCATTAAAATGCTTACGTTTTTTATTTTTGGAAATCTCATATTGAAAGTCTTGAGGAGTGAGCTGTGTTAATGTTCATAATACCCATTTAATTCATCTCAGAATATTAATTAAAAGCACATTCATGTAACGGAGGCCAGCTAGCGAAGTGCTCTGCACGTAAACCTCACCCTAATGGTGCTCTAGCGACAGACAATAGAGGCTATGGTCTTTAGCCTTCTTGCTAGAGTCCGACTCCCATACAAAGAATGGCCGGTTCGATCCCAGCTCAGATCAGGCTGAGTGCAGTATGACCAGTAGGAAACTTGGGGGCTCGTCCGGGATGGGAGTGAGTGCTAGGCAGGTAAACCTCACTCCTCTGACCTCTAAAGGTGTTCTAGTGACAAACACTAGAGACTATAGTCTTTACGCTCCTGGTTAGAGCAACCGACTCCCATACAAAGAAATGCAGATTTGATCCCAGCTCAGACTGGGTGCTGTGCAGTAGGACTGGTAGTGCTACATTCAATTAAATAAAACGTACCATTTTGGTCTATGCGCATAGGCTTGCCTATAGAAAATATACATTTCTTATATATTTTTAAATAAATTTTAATGAATGTATACCAAATGCGGGCTTATCCATAATTTTCTTTAATTAAGCATTTAAAAAAATTATGCATTTTAAAACATGCATTTTTTACATGACGACAACATCTACTGACACTATATAAATAATCGCTTTTTTGTTGTTGTTTTAATGGATTTGTGTTTACATGATTCATTGCACCATGTTGTCATTTCAAATGCTCAAAACAACGTTAGCTATGTTTCCATTGAAAGATGCTAATTAAAATGCGCAATACTGGAAATTGTACGAAACATTTGCGAATAAAGCACCAATTACATCCAATGAGTCAAAGAAAATAAAATCGTAACTTATAAACTGGCGCAAAATATCAAAAAGAAAATTGGAATTTAGTTTTTTTGATGCGGATGATGGAAATTTATTCGGTAAATATTTTTCTGTCGTAGTTTATGCAAAAGTTTGTACTAAGTTGTGCGCATAAGTTTTTATGCACAGTTTTAAAAATGTTTGTGCATCTTGAAGTATTTTTAGGTGATATTTCAAAATGCGCATAGAAGTAGGTGGATAAAAACATAGCTACAGTTGGGAAAATCCAAGCCAAAATGCTTATTTTTTGTTTATTTAATGAAAACTACAATAAAACAGTGCTGTGTAGACATTTTGTCTTTCATGTCATCAACAACATCACTAATGTAGTTGAACACAATTTGTTCATTTCTTTTTAGCATGTTCATTAGCAAAGACGACATGTTTTGTGATTGGATGCTTCTTGTTGCAAAATCGTCACTTTCTGATAAACTGGTGCCAAATATCAAAAATTGGAATTTGTGTTTTTTTTTGTTTTTTGTTGTTGATGCGCATGCTGGAAATATAATTGATAAAAATGTTTTCATTGTAGTTTCTGCCCATTCTGTCTTATTGGATAAAAAGTGTATCCGTTTTTTTTTTTTCGCACATTTTTTAAAAATGTTTGCGCATCATGAAGTATTTTTTATGTAATATTCGAAAATGCGCATAAACATAGGTGGATAAAAACATAGCTAAAGTTGGGAAAATACTGGCCAAAATGCCTATTTATGTTTATTTAAAGAAGAATATAATAAAACAGTGCTGTGTAAACATTTCCTTCATTTCATCTGTCTTTCGTGTCATCAACAACAACACGCAACAACATATTTTCAACACGTTCACTAGCAAAGATGACATGTTTTGTGATTGGACGCTTCTTGGTGCAGCTCATGCATATTAAGTATCTAATTATAGTGGTTTTGGTAGCGCATCGAGTGTGTTGTTGCAAAAGTATTGATGAGTTGAAATAAGCTTAAATGGCACAGATGTTTCCTCGCTTATTGAAAACAGATTTGTCAGTGATGATTACGAATACACTCGTTCAGTACAAGCTTTTCCAATATGTATATCAGTGTTTCTTTAATTGTATCATAAGAGTTGCTGCAAACGGTCTCATTTTAGCTGGGCAAAATTATTCGGGTGTGTAATTATGCTAATGTACGATATAGTTTTATGATCTTGTACTGTTGAAACCATGATGGCCTTATTTGAAGTGTACCTGTAGCAGAAATCGATGTAAAAGCTGTATGATTGTGCCTCAAAGTTCAGTGTCCCTTTAAAAAGAAACAACAAAAAAAAAGCTTTTAAGAAAACTTTTGCGTTCAGATGTCTTGTGTTTGTTAGACACACACACACACATTCACTGCCTTCAAGTAGAACTTTAAATCTAAAATAAAATAAAAGCCCATAAAAAATTAGAGTTACTGCATTGGTTTAATATATTAACTTGTTCTCTGATATCTACATAGTAGGTTTATGGCTTTGGTAAGTTTACCAAATCTCCAGAAATGGTTTTGAAGGCTCATTTATTACTCTATGGAATACTCAAAGAAACTCACAAAGATAAACCCAATAACCCAGTAATAGTAACCTATTTTGCTTATAAGATGTGGATAAATACTAAATCATAACTAAACTTGACAAAGAGGCTGATGGAGATGTGTTGCATTGTATTTTTAAGCTATAAAGTCAAAGAAAGCACAGCCAGGACTTAATATCGTCTGCATGCACAGATGACAGTTCCACTGACGCAATTCTACACGTTTGTTGAAACATATGCTTCAAATTTCACAACAAACATAATAAAATAACAAAAGATACAATAAGACTTGCCTCATGCCTCCTCGGAGGGGAGCTGAATAAATGTATAATCTGTAAATCTTGCATTTTGCCTCCTATAGCACGTCTGGTGCAGCCATTGCTCAGTAACACAGTAAACAACATGCAGTTGCGTTTTCTAAATATATGTTCCACATGCTTAGTAAGTTAAATATAAGCTTTAAAATAACTAATAGAGGGTAAGTATTGTTGTTTTCCCAGTAGTGGATGTTGTTGGTTATCAAACGCAGCCAGAGATGTGCATGATTGATTTCAGAGCTGCATACGAGTGTGTTCTCTTTATGACGTCAGGTCCGGATAAACGACCTAAAGTACTGTTACATGCAAATAAAAAGGGTGTGGCCCATGAGTCTCATTACAGTTTGTGTTGTCCTCTGATTGGCCCGTTGTCCACCAGGGTTTTACACTCAAGGAATTTACATGATGACAAGTAAACAATGGTATCTGAGGCTCATGGTATGTCCATTTCCACACACTGATGTCTGATAATTTTACTATGCATTGGTATATTGGTATATTCATTATAGTGCACCTTTAATACTGCAATAGCTCATAAATAATACTGAAAAAATTACCAAAATTATTTTAATATAATTTTTATCATTTTAATAATTTATAACTAATATTAATAAATAGTATAACAGTGCAAAAATAATACACAGACAACATCCGATATATAATATTAGTATATTAATAAATACTAAGATTGAAATTATAATAAAGTCAAGATTAAAGCTGATTAAAAACATTTATAAATAACAATATAAGCCCATTTTAAAAAATAATAGTATGCTATTAATGCAAATAATAATAAATAATACAAAATCTAAAAATACTAAAAAGCAAGTTATTTTAACGAAGTAAAAAAAAGATAAACAATTTTGTAAAAATAATACGCACATAACAACAAAAAAATAATATTAGTATATTTAAAAATACTCAAATTAAAATGTTTAAAATGTAAAGCTGAATAAATAACAATATACAATAACATATACCCATAACCACTATTAACAAAAGCTTCGTATGACGGAATGAAAGTCACGAAACCAGTAAAGTGTTCAAGGAATATTTAATTTTATATAAAAAAAATAATAAAGTAAAATAACGTTGCGAAAAACAATATCCTCATCCAGTCCAGCTTGCGAGGCCACGACCAGTAATAATTAAAAAAAAAAGGGGCGGGAGATATCGACAGTTTCTTATTGGCTGATGAGACGAGTGTAAACAAACATCCTAAAATTAATCAAGCAAACAAACCAACATAAAAACGAGACCCCCCTTAAAAAAAACATCTCCTGCTGCCCTTTCCAGCGTTGGGGCATTTGATCACAAAACGTTGAGAACGCAACATCAAAACGAGTGTGTAAAAGTAAAGAGTGCATGTTTAACGGAGACTGATGCGTCTGATGACATCATGTGTTTAATGATGACATCATTATCCCCGAGTGTCCAGAGTGGGACGGAGCACCATGCGTCAGTTTGGCCCAAACGTGTTTACCTGCAGCTCCCAGAATACCTTGCGATGAAATCACAGGACGATCCACGTGCCTCTGTCATTATCAGTCAACACCTGAAGAGAAGAGCCTGCGGGGAACACAAACACACAGTGAACTCTGGTGCTGGTTCTGGCGTAATAATCAAGAAACTCTGCTGCTGTATCATGGCTGCAGCAGGAGCAGTGAAATTACGCATCGCCTGAAAATCAGGTAACCATGGAGACACACGTCAGAGATGATTCTACCTGTGCATTAAAGTGCCCACCTTTATGCAGCGCCTCATTGGTCATGCGGTTGATGTAGCGTGAGCTGCTCTCCGGCACGAGCCACCGCATCACAGTATTCACACACGACTTCCTGTAGGAGCTCCACACACTTCCACTGGGAAACACACACACCAGAACGTCTGAATGCAGGTGAAACAGATGGGCAGCCCATCTCTATACGACTCAAGGTCATTACCTGGTCTGACCTTTGACCTCAGTGAGGTCGCCGACCCCAACTGTGTGACACGCGCCTGTGTTTAAATCCCAACTGACCTGCAGACTGGAGTGATACGACTTGGGCCTACAAACAAACAAAGAGTTAACAAACACTGATGGGCTGTTATTATAGTGTGTGTGTGTGTGTGTGTGTGTGAGAGCATCTTTGAGTGTTTGTGCATGTGTGTGTGATTGTGCATGACTGAGATTATGTGTGTAGTGAATGCGTGAGAGTGTGCATGTGCGAACAAGATAGTTTGTGAATGGGTGAGTCAGTGGGTTTGTGTGTGTATATGAGTGAGGTTGTGTATGTGTGGGTAAATGAGTGTGTGTGAATAAGTGAGTTTGTGTAGGTGTGTGTGTGTGTTTGAGTTAATGAGTGTGAATTAGTGAGTTTGTGTGTGTGAATGAGTGAGGTTGTGTGTGTGAGTGAATGAGTGAGTGCATGTGAGTTTTATATGTGTGGGTGAATGAGTGTAAGTGAAAGAGTTCATTTGTATAGGGGTGTGTGTGTGTGTGTGTGTGTGCGTGTGTGCGTGTGTTTGAGTTTATGAGTGTGAATAAGTGAGTTTGTGTGTGTGAATGAGTGAGGATGTGTATGTGGGTGAATGAGTGCATGTGAAAGAGTAAGTTTGTGTAGATGTGTGTGTGTGTGTTTGAGTGAACGAGTGTAAATAAGTGAGTTTGTATGTGTGTGTGTGTGTGTATGTTTGAGTTAATGAGTGTGAATGAGTAAGGATGTGTATGTGTGTGATTGAGTGTACGTGTGAAAGAGTGAGTTTTGTGTAGGTGTGTGTGTGTTTGAGTGAATGAGTGTGAATGCGTGGATGAGTGTGAGTTTGTGTGTGTGAGTGAGTGAATTTATGTGTACATGAGTTTGTGTAAATGAATGAGTCAGTGGGTGCGTGTGGGAACAAGTAAGTTTGTGTAGGTGTGAGTGAGTGTGTGTGAGAGTGAATGAGTGTGTGTGTGTGTGAATGAATAAATGAGTATGCGTGTGAGAAAGTTAGTGTGTGCGTGTGTGTCTGTCTGTGTAAGTAAATGAGGGTTTGTGTATGTGTGAGTTTATGTGTGTGTGAGTGTGTGAATGAATGAGTAAGTGTGCGTGTGAATGAGTCTGAATGAGTGAGTTTGTGTATGTGTGAGTGTGTGTGAAAGTGAGTTTGTGTGTGTGTGTGTTTAAATGAGTGAGTGTGTGAAAAAGTGAGTTTTTGTATGTGTCTGTGAATGAGTGAGTTTTTGTAGGTGTGTGTGTGTGTTTGAATGAATTAGTCTGTGTGTGTGTGTGTGTGTGTGTGTGTGAATGAGGGAGTGTGTGAACAAGTGAGTTTGTGTATGTGAGTGTGCTTTTTTGTATGTGTGTGTGTGTGTGTGCGTTTTTGTGTGAATGAGTAAGTGTGCGTGTAAAAGAGTAATTTTGTGTGTGAAAATGAGTGACTGTGTGTGTGTGTATATATATGTCTGTATAAGTGAATGAGTGTGTATGTGTCCATGTTTGAAAAAAATAAGCAAGTTAGTGTGTGTGTGTATGTGTGTGTGTGTGTGTGTGTGTGTGAATAAGCGAATGTGTCTGTGTGCATGTGTGAATAAATAAGTGTGTGTGTGTCTGTGTGCATGTGTGAGTGTAAGTGTAAGTGTGTGTGTGTGTGTGTGTGTGTGTACCTGCAGTGCTCGTCATCACAGTTAGAGAAGGCCAGCAGCAGCAGCCCGATGTTGATCACCACTATATTGGTCTCCGGGCAAACCTGTCGCCATAGTAACAACATGTAAATTAGAATGCTGTTCCACCTATAGAATGCAGCAGTCCAGCTCCAGCGTTCTCTCCTCAGCCAAACAGATGAAGCTGAAAACACAAACAGTGACGTTACCTCAAGAATGACCACGTCATAATCACTGAAGGAGCAGAACTGAGATCCCCATTCAGCGTCATTCCTGATCACCTCGTTTATCAGATACTCGAAATCCAGAGTCAGCTGCTCGATACACACAAACTGAAACACACACGCACACAAGTTTAAACACAACATCCATGTGATGTGGAGACGAATTAAGAGTCACACACACCTGACCACTGTACTGTCCTGTCACTATCTGTAAAGGTCGTCCCTTCAGATCGGTCACAGTAAAAGGAAGCTGGACTTTATCATCCTCCTCACCTAAAGACAACACACACACACACACACACACACACACACACAATTATAGACACTATACACAACAGAATCACGTGAATCAAAAATTCATTCAGCACACGATGTGTGGCTTGATTCCCAAACATGACTCGCATGAATCAGTTCTTTTCAGTGAATCAATAACAGACGAAACAAGCGGTGAAGTCTGATTAAAAACACATGACTCTTGTGAATCAGTTCTTTTTAGAAGCTCAAAAACATCAGACACAACCGGTGTAGTCTGAACAAAAACAAATGATTCTCATGAATCTGTTCTTTTTAATGAATCAGACATCAGACAAGCAGTGTAGACTGATTCAAA